CGCGTGCGCGCGATCGATTGCCTCTCGGAACTTGAATCGGGGGAGCGAAAGGGGGAAAATTGGGACAACACAAATGGCCGACAAGGAGCCGCCCCCCCGCCCCCTCCCCCTTTGGGACGCCAGGCTCCCCTTGCAGCCTCGGCGAAGGCGGCAAACTCACGCGGCGGCGAGCAGACACTCGGTGGGGGCGACGACCGCGGGCAGAGGCCGCCACACGGGTGCATGTGCTGGACGCCCTCCAGAGGGGGGGGTGCTGCCGCAATGGGCGACCAGGAGGGCGCGGGGGGGGGGGGACACGCCGGCGCCTTGGAGCTGGACACCGGCCGATGAGATCGATGGGGCATTAATCGGCCGGGCGCCCGAGCCGGGGGACGGGCCCATCCGGGCGAGCCGGCCTGCGCTCAAACAGCGATCCCACCTGGAGTTGGCCAGCGGCGCTGGCTGAAACCGCGTAGCAGGAGAGGGCGAATTGGTGTGTCGAGCGCCGGGTTGGCCCGGCGAGTGCGCCCAGGAGCCGGACCTTGGGACCCGGCCGGGGGAGGAGAGGAGCCAGGGGCCCTGGTGGAGAGAGTCTCGCGATCGGTGGCCGCCACACGAAGGCCCCGGCTTGTCGGTTGAATGTGGCTGCCGGCGCCCGGCGCACCACGGTGCACATGGGCGGGCCAACCATGCTGATGGGTGTCACCGAGAGGCCGGATCGGGGAAGACCCTTTGCCGCGGCCCCCCCTCCCCCCGGACGACGACTGGGAGGACTGGAACGGAAGTTGATCGGTGCGCGTGGGGGCCGATCCGTATGCGTACACCCGCTCACGCGCAAACTCCCCGGGCCCCTTTGGCAGGCGCAGAAGCACAACATACAATGCTCCCTCCAGTGGCCACGCCTGATGCCAATGTTGAGCGGTGGCCGGGCCGGGCGCCTGTGCCAGCCCGGGGTCCCCATGCTCGAGGCTGGGGCTTCCCCCCCCCCCCCCTCCCCGCCCGTCCCACCGCTGGAGCTGGCCCTGCATCGCTCCGGGCCGGCCCGCCGCGCCGGGTCTGACAGGACACAACGCCCCAAAGGCGAGGGTCACGCGTGTGGGGAGGGCCGCAAATGCCCATCACGCAAGGGCCGGCGGCCTCGCGCTCCGGCGTCGACGCGGCGGCCAGCCGGACCCCGATGGCCCGGGAGGAAGATGATGGGCATGCAGGGCACTCGCGCCCGGGTATCGACGCGCCATCCGCCCGGCTCCGCGGTCTGCCGGGTGCTGGCTGGTGCTCGCCCCCCGCACCCGTCGTGCCTGCCGGTCCCCGGGCGCGTCGCCCCCGCCGTTCCACTCTGAGCGCCGGCCCCCTCCCAGTGTGTGTCTCTTTTTTCGTGCGGGGGAAAAATGTCCCTTGGGGCCTCGCCTCGAGAGGCGAGCAAGTTCCCCCCTCGCCCCCCCCCCCCCCCCAGGAATAGCCACCCTCCAGGGGGCCCGGTCGTGGAAGGGTGCGCCGGGGGCCTGCGAGGTGCTCAGACGACCAAAAAGACGACCATCCAATTAGGGGGACCTCGAGAAAACCACCACTCCACTGAGAGTAACCGGCTGCTGGCCGTGTGCGCCCGGGGCGCGCGCGGCCTGATCCTTGGCCAGGCGAGATCCAGCCGTGGTAGGGCCGACCAGGACCCACCATCCCGCCGGGCGGGAGCTCCTGCCCAGGCGGGGGAGGGGACATGGTCTGAGGGGGAGTCCCAGGACATGGGCGCGGCCTTGTCCGTGCGGGGGGGGGGGAAAGCCTGGCCGAAGGGTCTCCCGGAAACGGACAAAGGCCGGCCCCTTGGCCGGTGCCCAACGCTGGCACGGAGCGCCGGCTTCGCCGGCGCCTACGCCCACGGCGGAGGTCCCGGCAGTCGTGGTGGCGGCGGCGGCGGCGGCGGCGGCGGCGGCGGCGGGGAACCCACGAGTATAAAGGGGCCCCGGCAGGCTGGCGGTCGAGGGCACGCGGCCTTGTCCCTCCGTCCACCGAACCCCCCTTGGCCCGAGCGTGAGTACGCTCGGCAACGAATCTGCCCATGAGTCATGGGCGGTTGGTGGAGGGGGGTCAGAGCCGGGACGGCGTGCCGGTCGGACTTGGATAGAGCAGGGGCGAAGGTACGTTGGGTCCGCCAATCGCCCACGCAGCGCGGAGGCCATCGGCGCGGTTTCAGGGCGGCCCAGCGAGCCTGGAAGCGGGGACGTGCTCGTGGGGCCGCCGACCCGGAGGCCGGCCCACGCTCGCCGGACGGCCGCTCCGGGCAGACCTTGCTCGGCCTCGGTCCCCGGGGCAGGTAGTCCGCTGGCAAGACACCGGGCGGGGGGGCGGAGGGGGGGGGGGGGGGGGGGGGCGCCGCGGGGGGGGGTCCCGCGGCTCCGGTTTCTCGGCCTGATCCGTTCGACAGGCGGTCGCCCGCGCGCCCGGACGCTCTGGAAGGGGACCACGGGCGCGCTTGCG